GCAGGAAGGGTTGGTGTTTCACAAAAAGAGAGGTGAGTGTGCAAACAAGGGGTGTTAGGGTCACAAGAAAGGTTGGAGTGAGGGTTAAATGGAAGGCTGACTTGAGGGTTAGTGTTAGGGTTAAAGGAAGGGTTAGTGTTAGCCTTACAGGAAGGGTTAGAGTTGCATGACACAAGTTATGGGCCCTCTGTGTTGCTTTAGGGGTGGATTCTCTCCTATTGAAACGCTGAAGCAACAGACCTTTGCAATAGCTGCTAGCAGTGTAGATGTCAAAGCATTTTATCCCAAGCAGCAACTCAATGAAAGCCCAGCTTTTACAGCCAACAAGCAAGTAAGGCAAGGGCTGGCATGAATATGATTCCAAGCAGTTGCTTCAAGTAGCATTGGCAACAGGTGGATGGTCAGACCTGAAAAAGACTGAGTTTCAAACATTTTTAAAACACTGTTCAAACTCATTAATCACATTTGTAAGACAGACATGTGCAGACAGACCAGAGTACGACAGATCCTGTTAATCAGGAACAGGCTGGAGGCTCTAACTTTACTTTTTTAGTTGATTAAAGTATATTGTATGTACTCTCCAGCGCCTCAGGATATGCACAGCCAAAAGGGAAGCCAAGGGTACCAGGACAGCGACAACCAAAGGAAATGCTTCAGGGGTGCAGCCCTCCTCAGACGGGGAAATCTGCCACTGGATAGAGAGAAAACAGGTGGCGCACACACCTAGTGCATTATCCAAGGTTTATTGTGAGGAGTGAAAGAATAAAAACATACTCACAGACAAAGCATGTATCTAAAAAGCAATGAAATTTCATTACACATCTGCATCAGAGGCTGGTCATTAGCTCTGAGGAAAGGGATTCATCCCCGAAACGCGTCAGTTGACCGCACTGACAGTAAGAACACCTTGCCTGCCATTGTGGCCATCGTCATTTTTCTATGCTTTTTAGATACATGCTTCGTCTGTGAGTATGTTTTTATTTTTTCACTCCTCACAATAAACCTTGGATAATGCACTAGGTGTGTGCGCCACCTGTTTTCTCTTGATTAAAGTATATATAAACCCTCACCTTGTAAAGAAAACCCATTCAGTTTAAAATAGAAATGAAAGGTAAAACATTTGTGTATAGATATAAAAAAAATTATAAATACATTTTCCTTTTTTTTTATATGTGTGTTTACATACCCTATGTTCCCAGCTGCATAGAGAGGTGGGGGAGGAGAAAAAGCAGCAAACTAATCTTCCCATTAAATGGCTGTGCAGGAGGATATGTGTCAAGACAAGTCTGATCTATGGAGGAGAGCAGGCTGGTTTCCCAGCACAGCTAGAAATCTAACCACACTGTGCTCTCATGCCTAGTGAGGCCAATTTTTAATAGAAAAGCAGGGGTACTGGCAGGAACACCAGGGATTTCACACAAAGGAAGCCATAGAAACAGAACAGGATACTTTTCATATAAGTACATGGTACAGCAAGCATATACAGGTATATCTCAATCAATTATAATATCATCAATAAGTTTATTTATTTCAGTAATTCAATTCAAAAAGTGAAATTCATATATTATATATATTAATTACACACAGTGATATTTTTCAAGCATTTCTTTTTTAATTTTGATGATTATGGCTTACAGCTAGTGAAAACACAAAATTCAGTGTCTCAGAAAATTAGAATATTGTAAAAAAGTTAAATATTGTAGACTCTAATCAGCTAATTTACTCAAAACACTTAAATAGTCTCAGAGTCTGGTTCAGTAGGTTACACAATCATGGGGAAGACTGCTGGCTTGACAGTTGTCCAGAAGACAGTCATTGACATCCTCCTCAAGGAGGGTAAGTCACAAAAGGAAGCTGGCTGTTCACAGAGCGCTGTATCCAAGCATATTAATGGAAAGTTGAGTGCAAGGAAAAAGTGTGGTAGAAAAAGGTGCACAAGCAACAGGGATAACCGCACAACAGGGTAATCGCAGCCTTGAGAGGATTGTGAAGCAAAGGCCATTCAAGAATTTGGGGGGATTCACAAGGAGTGGACTACGGCTGGTGTCAGTGCTTTAAGGGCCATCACACACAGATGCATCCAGGACATGGGCTACAACTGTCACATTTAGAGATGAGCGAATCGAACATGGCGAAGTGGAATTCGTTTTGAATATTGGGAAATATTCGATTCGCGCCGAATCCGAAAATTAGCAAACTTCGGAGGCACGAATCGAATTTTCCCCAAAAATGGCAGCGACATGTGTGGCGACGGAGCGGGGATCTCTGGGAAGGCGCGCAGACAAGGCGCGCTGACCCATAATGCATTCATTCATGACATGTGATCGCATTAGCCAATCAGCAGCCAGCCCAGCACTGTGTAATGGTGGAGCTATAAATTGCGGCCATCTTACAATTCTCCATTAGCCTCCGGTCATTCAAGAGAGACAGACCTGTCTGTATTAGGGACAGAGTTAGGGCCAGAGAGACTTTAGGGCCACAGAATCGTTACTCAGGGACACAGAATTGTTACTCAGGGACAGACACAGAATTGTTACTGAGGGACACAGAATTGTTACTCAGGGACACAGAATTGTTACTCAGGGACACAGAATTGTTACTGAGGGACAGACACAGAATTGTTACTGAGGGACACAGAATTGTTACTCAGGGACACAGAATTGTTACTCAGGGACGCAGAATTGTTACTCAGGGGGACACAGAATTGTTACTAGAATTGTTACTCAGGGACAGACACAGAATGTTACTGAGGGACACAGAATCGTTACTGAGGGACACAGAATCGTTACTCAGGGACACAGAATTGTTACTCAGGGACACAGAATCGTTACTCAGGGACACAGAATTGTTACTGAGAGACACAGAATTGTTACTGAGGGACACAGAATTGTTACTGAGGGACACAGAATCGTTACTCTGGGACAGACACAGAATTGTTACTCAGGGACACAGAATTGTTACTCAGGGACACAGAATTGTTACTGAGGGACAGACACAGAATTGTTACTGAGGGACACAGAATTGTTACTCAGGGACACAGAATTGTTACTCAGGGACACAGAATTGTTACTCAGGGACACAGAATTGTTACTGAGGGACAGACAGAATTGTTACTGAGGGACACAGAATTGTTACTGAGGGACACAGAATTGTTACTCAGGGACAGACACAGAATTGTTACTCACGGACATAGAATTGTTACTCAGGGACAGACACAGAATTGTTACTCAGGGACACAGAATTGTTACTGAGGGACACAGAATCGTTACTGAGGGACACAGAATTGTTACTCAGGGACACAGAATTGTTACTCAGGGACACAGAATCGTTACTCAGGGACACAGAATCGTTACTGAGGGACACAGAATTGTTACTCAGGGACACAGAATCGTTGAATTAAAGAGTATGTCAGACAACACGCAGAGGAGTGGCAGAGGAGGCAATGTTTCAGGAGCGAGCAGACGTGGCAGCAGAGGAAGGGGTCGAGGCAGCACTAGTCGCAGCCAGAGGCCAGTGCTCTCGGTGTCATCCAGCGGTCGTGTCTCCACCGACAACCCTGCCGTCATCGATTGGTTGACTCGGTCGTCTTCCTCTTCCCAGGTCACCTCTGACACCTACAGCCAACGGTCGGTGGGTACGTCAGACACAACCGTTAGTTGGCATGGCCCGGGAGCAAGCCCACTGAAATCACGTGTCCTCTACCTGCCCCTGTCCTTTGGTGTTCCCTCACCAAGCGAAGTATCGCATGCTGTGGGCTCAGCCCCACTGTACAGTGAGGAAGAGCTAACAGAGGGCGGTCAGGAACGGGGGGAGACATCCGCCTCTTCAGCAGCCAGGCGAAGAAGTACTGGCGAGGAGAGTGGCTCGGTAGCCGGTCTAGAGACAGGTCTGTCTCCTGACCCACACGCAGCCGAGGGGGCTAGTAGTGAGGCGGAGACCCTAATTGATGATGATGAGGCTGATCGCACTTGGCAGCCTCGTCGTCATCTGCCAGGCCCGTAATCTGCCATGGGACTCCGTACCGACTCCTCCTCATGCTGCTGCCAGGCCCGTAATCTGTCATGGGCCCCTGTACCGCCTCCTCATGCTGCTGCCAGGTCCAGAGTGTGTCATGGTCCCTGTACGGCCTCCCATTGCTGCTGTCTCCATCGCCACACTCTGCCATGTGCCACTTTCAGGTCTCCTCACACTGCTGGTGGGTTCCATTTTGTCATAGGGTGCTGGCAGATTACGGGCCTCCCATTGCTGCTGCCAGGCCCGTAATCTGCCATGGGCCCCCGTACCGCCTCCTCATGCTGCTGCCAGGTCCAGAGTGTCTCATGGGTCCCTGTACGGCCTCCCATTGCTGCTGTCTCCATCGCCACACTCTGCCATGTGCCACTTTCAGGTCTCCTCACACTGCTGGTGGGTTCCATTTTGTCATAGGGTGCTGGCAGATTATGGGCCTCCCATTGCTGCTGCCAGGCCCGTAATCTGCCATGGGCCCCCGTACCGCCTCCTCATGCTGCTGCCAGGTCCAGAGTGTGTCATGGGTCCCTGTACGGCCTCCCATTGCTGCTGTCTCCATCGCCTCACTCTGCCATGTGCCACTTTCAGGTCTCCTCACACTGCTGGTGGGTTCCATTTTGTCATAGGGTGCTGGCAGATTACGGGCCTCCCATTGCTGCTGCCAGGCCCGTAATCTGCCATGGGCCCCCGTACCGCCTCCTCATGCTGCTGCCAGGTCCAGAGTGTCTCATGGGTCCCTGTACGGCCTCCCATTGCTGCTGTCTCCATCGCCACACTCTGCCATGTGCCACTTTCAGGTCTCCTCACACTGCTGGTGGGTTCCATTTTGTCATAGGGGTGCTGGCAGATTACGGGCCTCCCATTGCTGCTGCCAGGCCCGTAATCTGTCATGGGCCCCTGTACCGCCTCCTCATGCTGCTGCCAGGTCCAGAGTGTGTCATGGGTCCCTGTACGGCCTCCCATTGCTGCTGTCTCCATCGCCACACTCTGCTATGTGCCACTTTCAGGTCTCCTCACACTGCTGGTGGGTTCCATTTTGTCATAGGGTGCTGGCAGATTACGGGCCTCCCATTGCTGCTGCCAGGCCCGTAATCTGTCATGGGCCCCTGTACCGCCTCCTCATGCTGCTGCCAGGTCCAGAGTGTTCTCATGGGTCCCTGTACCGCCATGCTGCTACCAGGTCCAGAGTGTCTCATGGGTCCCTGTACGGCCTCCCATTGCTGCGGTCTCCATCGCCACACTCTGCCATGTGCCACTTTCAGGTCTCCTCACACTGCTGGTGGGTTCCATTTTGTCATAGGGTGCGGCAGATTACGGGCCTCCCATTGCTGCTGCTAGGCCCGTAATCTGCCATGGGCCCCCACCGCCTCACTCATGCTGCTGCCAGGTCCAGAGTGTCTCATGGGTCCCTTTCCCAGGTCTCCTCGCCACAGTTTCAGGTCTCCTCACATGGTGGGTTCCATTTTGTCATAGGGTGCTGCCTCCCATTGCTGCTGCTAGGCCCGTAATCTGCCATGGGCCCCCGTACCGCCTCCTCATGCTGCTGCTGCTGCACTCTGCCATGGTCTCCTCACACTCTGGTGGGCATTTTGTCATAGGGTGCTGGCAGATTACGGGCCTCCCATTGCTGCTGCTAGGCCCGTAATCTGCCATGGGCCCCCGTACCGCCTCCTCATGCTGCTGCCAGGTCCAGAGTGTCTCATGGGTCCCTGTACGGCCTCCCATTGCTGCTGTCTCCATCGCCACACTCTGCCATGTGCCACTTTCAGGTCTCCTCACACTGCTGGTGGGTTCCATTTTGTCATAGGGTGCTGGTGGGTTCCATTTTGTCATAGGGTGCTGTATGGCCATTCCCATTGCTGCTGCCACTTTCAGGTCCCTCCACCGTTCCCACACATTGTGGCTCCACCGCCACACTGTGGCTCCACACTCTGGTTTTGGCCCCGTGACTGCCCAAATGAGTGAAGTGTGCGGTGATTCTAAGATCGACGGCACTCATCTGCATGTCATACTGACTGACAGTATTATTTCTCTTCCCCAGCAGACTCCAAGGGCATTTAAATTAAAGGTACAGTGTTCTGCACTAATATAAAGGCTCTCTGAAGCCTAGAAACACCCTTTTTATATGTTAAATTCGCAGCGAATATATTCGACTCGAATCGAATTTATTCCGCGAATTCGCCGAATCAGCCGAATCGAATTTTTGAATACTTCGCTCATCTCTAGTTACATTCCTTGTGTCAAGTCACTACTGAACCAGAGACAACGTCAGAAGCATCTTGGGCTAGGGAGAAAAAGGACTGTTACTCAGTGGTAAATGCTCATATTCAGCCAAATGCTTCAGAACTCACTGGACGCCGCTTCACAGTGCAGATGGACGATGACCCAAAGCATACTGCAAAAGCATCCAAAGAGTTTTTAAGGGAAAGAAGTGCAATGTTATGCAATGGCCAAGTCAATCACCTGACCTGAATCCGATTGAGCATGCATTTCACTTGCTGAAGACAAAACTGAAGGGAAAATGCCCCAAGAACAAGCAGGAACTGAAGACAGTTGCAGTAGAGGCCTGGCAGAGCATCACCAGGGATGAAACCCAGCGTCTGGTGATGTCTATGCGTTCCAGACCTCAGGCTGTAATTGACTGCAAAGGATTTGCAACCAAGTATTAAAAAGTGAAAGTTTGATTTTATTATTATTCTGTCCCATTACTTTTGGTCCCTTAACAAGTGGGAGGCACATATGCAAACTGGTGTAATTCCTACACCGTTCACCTGATGTGGATGTAAATACCCTCAAATTAAAGCTGACGGTCTGCAGTTAAAGCCCATCTTGTTCGTTTCATTTCAAATCCATTGTGGTGGTGTATAGAGCAAAAATGTTAGAATTGTGTCGATGTCCCAATATTTATGGACCTGACTGTACATTGTAGAATGCTGCACAAATTGTTTTGTGGAATGAATTATAATGTTTCAGAAATTAAATTATTTTTGGGTTGCGACTTAATGACCAAGGAAAAAAGTGGGTCCTGAGGTTCCACAGGTTGAGAACCACTGCTCTAGATTAAATTGCACTTGCTGAGTGCAACTGCACTTTGCAAAGTGCATAGTCTATTTACCTTTAATAAACCAACCCCATAGTGCCCTGTGGTGTCATTGGTAGGAATAGGACCCCATTTTTGGTGCAAGAACGGATAGATCCCCAAGGGCCTCATACAAGCAAGCAAAAGGGCCACATCCTACCTATCGGCCATATGCTACCTGCAGGCCACAGCTTGCTGCATTAGATTGTGTACCACTAAGCTACTCTGCTAAAACCACACCTCAGCACTCTTAGGAACTGTCCTGCAGACTGAGGATTTTGACTTTACACCAAACAGGACTTCTCCTTTAACATGTGTATTCTGTATTCCCGTTTTTTAGGTGTTTCTGGAGCTATATTGAAAGCTGCTGGTGACACGGTTAAAGAGGAATGCAGTAGGATCGGTAAATATAAACTATTTGTTACTAACCTCATGAGGTCTATTATACACATATCTAAGAACAGCTCACAATAAATGCTCAGTACACCAGTTTAAAGAAATAAAAATTGTGAAAGCTTTTTAGCCTCAAACAGATGCTAACACTTTGCGAATGCTAAGATTCTTTTTTTTTTCCATAAGAAGTTATACGCAAGACATAAAGATACATATATAACTGGATAGAGAAAAAGGAGAACAGGGTGATGTCTAATCTCAAAAAGGGACAAGTAATCCAGTGGTAAGACAATAGTCACAATGATGACCAAATATGGTTAACCAAAGACAGACAAGAAGTGATATCCCATCAGAAACTCACATGTACAGGGCACAAGTTAAAATGCAACTTGGAGTCGCTGGCGGGGGACTATATGAAAAGAAAGAAAGAAAAAGGAAAATAGCAGTGATAGGAAGATAGGGGTGGAAAAAGAAGGGGAAGGGGGGGGGTGAGCATAAGATAAGAATTAGGGTCAAAGGGAGGGTCTGGAATTAGGAGGTACGGGTTCGTTCATTTTCCTACCCCCTGCAAGCAGGCAACTGGTCAGTTCAGTGGGGCTGCCTAGACCCAGAGGTGGCTGTCGAAGAGTATGGCCAGTATAAGATCAAGTGAGCCCATGATTACAGCATACACCTTACGTCTGGGGACATAAGTCTTGATAGACAGTAGTTATTTTAGATTGATTCCAACTGTACCAGGTGGAAGTAAATTTAGAGAGTCGTTCCTCTCTCTTCCATTTTATCTATTCTCCGGAACATTCCTTTATTTTCGGCGGTTTAGTGAAGCACCAGTGACGGGATACAGTGTCTCGCTGCTGTGATCTTGTACATTTCTAGGGATTTACTGTATATTTCCCTGGAAATAGACGTGTGGTGCAGAAAGTATTACGCTGGAGGGAATTCTAGAGTTGTCACCATGACCGTAGTTATAATATTGTGTACTTTTTCACCTCGCAGTTTGGAACATGACCACCATATGTGCAGTAATGTGTCTACTTCTAGCCCTCAGTGCCAACAGAGATTGGACACAGTGGGGAAATACTTGTGGAGGAGAGAGGGGGTCCTATACTAGCGCATGTAGATCTTATAGCCACATTCTTGGGAAGTCATGTTCATGGAGCCTTTGTGAATGAAAGTACAGACTGAGTCCCAGTTGTCTGATGAAAGGGACATGTCCAGGTCTTTTTCCCAGGCAATGTAAGATCTATTCTGATGCTCTGACAGATCACTAAATAAGGAAGAGTAAATAGTAGAGATCACGTCTCTGTGGTTGCTTTTTGTTGCAGAGAGACTGCAGAGTCATTAATGGCCTAATCCATGTAGTATTAGTGTCAGAGATAATAGAAAGTTTTATTTACGCATATTTTCAAAATGATAGGGTATGGGGGACAAGGGCCCTTTCTGATAAAAGAAATCAACCAAGTTTTTAATGAACTGTTTTGTAGCGAGTTTACTATTAGTACAAGTAAATCTAGTGCCAGAATCCTATTGGAGGAAGCATGGGGTCTGCTTAATATGCAGATATGCTTCTCAGTTGTACAGACCAGCAAACAAGAGAAAGTAGAGATAGTTTTTGTGAACCATAAAGAGTCTTCTGACTTCTCTTAAAACCCCTGCACCCTCTTTCCCCTACAGTTCTATTAACCTCCCTGGCGGTATGATTACTTCAGATTTTTGGTGCTGAAAGCGGTACCATTTTTTTGCATGGAAATATGTAGTTTTTTTATTGTAGGCCTGGAATTTAGGAATAACTCACTGAAATCTGTCCGAACAAGAGTCTAGTAAACATTCCGGGTAGGTTAAAACTTGAAACATGAAATCATAATTTAATAAATAATCATAAAAAATAACAATATAATAATAATAAATTTAATTCAATAATATAATCAAACGAAAGCACTGAAATTTGAAAATATAGCGCCAAGTTCGCACATCGCTGAGCAAAGTTGCAAAATCGTTTTCAGTGTCTGATGATGAATTTCCCCACGAATCATTATCACTCAATTCTGCAAGTGGTTCTGATTTACTATCGCTGTTCTCTAGCCGGTCTAAAACCGCTTTTGACCTAAAGGGACGCTTTTTGGATGCCATGGACGTTTCTAAGTTTCCAGGCAGAAAGAACAGTCAAAATGCAGGCAGGGCACAGGACAAAGCAGTAGGGACAAAATGTATGTGAAATGGTTTGAAACAGCAATGTTTTAGTATGTAAAATTCATTTTTAAAAAAATCATTTTTTAAAATTTTCAAATTTGCCGTCGGTTCCGGCGCCCGTACGTCCCAGGGACCGGAACACGGAAGCCGGCATCGGCATCGGCCGGAGGAGATGGCCGGGGACGCTGCAGGGGACGCATCGCGGGAGCGAAGGACAAGGTAAGCGCTGCAGGGACTCCCTAAGCAACGCCGCATGGTAAGCCCGATGTGTAGCTCAGGGTTACCGCTTTATTTACTGAAACTTTTACCCGAGCTACACTCAGGAATACCGCCAGGGAAGTTAATGGAATTAGCCACACTGGTTCTGAAGTAGACAAAAGAGGGAAACAAAGTAAGAAAAAAGTTATCAGAATTTATACATTTTGAGCTTTGGTGCTGCCCCCTCTAGTACTGGCTTATATTGTAGATACAGCTCTGCCTATGATCAATCTATGGAAACTGAATAATAGCAAGCTGTGCTTAAGGATTTCAAAATTATTTGGCATTGCCTGGTATGTAAGACACTGCTGCCTTCTTTATTTTAACTTGATTTTTTGACAGAGTGTTTCTTTTCTCCAGGCGTGTTGCATGGTGATGGTGCTGTAGTAACCAGTGGTGGAAATCTTAAAGCTAAACATATCCTTCATATTATTGGACCAACATCAGTGCCAGCCTATGAACCTTCTATAGACAGGATTCTCCTTACATGCCATGAGAGCAAGTTCACCAGCCTTGCTATACCAGCTATAGGAACAGGTAGGCAAATGGTTGTTTAAAGGGGAGATACAGGCATACCTCGATTTACAAATGCAATTGTTAACGTAAATTTTCAGTTTACGAATGAAAATCCATTGAAAATAATGCCTCGGTTTACTAATTTTTTTAGCAATACGAACGGATTTATTGGTTTTCAATGCATGTCCCTGTACAGTGTTTATGCAAATTTTTTTTAAAGTGCACTTTATAAAGAGTTTTGAACAGATAAAATACTTTTTTTAACTTTTTTTCTGACCTCCGTAACGAAGTACTTGGTTTTCAGTGCATTTACAAATTCATTTTTAATCATGTCCCTCTACAGTATTTATACCTTTAAAGTGCACTTTATAAAGAGTTTTGAACAGATAAAACACTTTTTTTTTACTTTTTTCTCAGGAACAGATGAATTGGTTTTCAGTGCATTCCTATT